AGATGGGGCAAGGAAACTGTAGGCTTGTAAACCCATATTATACGTACCGTCTGGGCCGGGAAATTAAAACATAAGTTCCTGTTACCTTGGTTCTATAATACAAATTAAATACAGTAATCAACTTACGAATAGGTTTGCAGTTCTAATGAGAAAGGGCAGAAACTGGAAGACCTGCGGCGCCATGGCAAAACGGTACAGCGTAGCAGTTTGCTAATCCGCAGACTGTCAAGAATGAAATGTTTGATCTTGAGGAGTCAATGATATGCCAATAATGCGAAGTGAAGACGTCAAGTGTTTCATAATGTATGTTAGAAGCAAACAAGTAAAAATTTCTGTGAGGATCTAAGTGATGGGTTTGTGGAAAAGAGATAGTATGTCCTCAATAGGTAAACCAGTTTGGCTGCATACTCAAAGTTCTCTTTGAATCTTGTCTCAGCCGAGTGCGGGTCTGATGGTACGTGCGATGCCCCATAAACTTGATTCCGGTTTCGGACCGACCTTTCTCACCCCCACGACTTAAAGATGATTTTTTTTGTAACTGGCAATTGCTTTTACCGCATAATAGCATTCTACAAGTCGAGGTGACTTGTGTGATGTACGCTGACACACGGGGATTGTCTCTCCGCCCTCCCTTCTGTACCTGATCTACCTAACTGCTAAGGAGTTTTGAGAGAGCCGCGGGATGGTATGAGATCTGGAAGTAACACTCCATTCATTCGTGGAATTTTTCTTACGAGATGACCATATTTATGCCGTAACACGATAAGGTGCTCTCTCCTTCTAGTGACACAAAATTTGGCACTCTGTACATCGTTTGCCTCTTTTGTTCGAAATTCGCCACTGAAAAGCGTATCATCCTCATCAACAAACGCACTGAGACGGCCAAACAAGCGCTTGAATGATCGTATAAGTGGCGGATAAAGTTCAGCGTTGGTCGGCGATCAGATGGTTCAGGCGTCCGGCTTTGTAGCCCACAGGTCACCGGTGTGGACCATCTTGCAGTATCTCTACTCCGCACGCGTCTGGTGGTGGTCACGTGGCATCGAAGCTTCAGTGCCAGTTATCGACGTGCTGGTGACGTCCTTTATAAATTTCAACAATCACTGCCCATCGCTTGCCTTGCACTCAAAGTGCTTTGTTGTCGTATTTTCCTAACCCGCCACTGGTTTCCTAAGTAGATTCGGTCTTTATTGGCGTTTCCCGTATCTGGTTTGTCAATCCGTTTGTGTTTGAACTAGCCGGCTGTCTTCAGGATTCAGCTAACCAGACGTGCAAAGATAGGATGGCACCAACTGGAAGCTTCTAGAAAACACCGGAGTGTATTACCTAGTGAATAAATTGTTTCATACCATTGGAGGCTCGAAATTTGTCATTCCCTTTACCATATCCGTGTTTAACCCGCTATCCACCTTTGAACGCGCTAATCGATGGCTGATGCTTCGTGGTGGAACCTCGCTGCCTACTACTTCACCATTTCTGTAGCACCATAGCCCGCCGCAAACGCATAAGGTGAAGCAGAACCTCGACACAATCACTTTGGCACGAAAATAACCAGTCCTTTTTGTGGGGCAGCTGCAACGGAAGCACATCGTGACACGGTTTCAAGACGCGAACTGGGTCTGCGGCAGACAGCGCGGAAAGCCGATGGAATCTGTTCATCATCTGCTACGCAGGTTGCCACGCGGTCCAGTCCAGCTGACAGTCAGTTAGTGTCATGACGACACTGAGTGCCATTGTGCATACGAGAATGGAGCTTCAGCCAAGCACAGGAGACGGTGAACACGTTTGGACTTGAGTAGACAGGTGAAGTCAATTGACCCAGCAACCTACAGTCGGAGGTGAGGTAGAATGACCTACAGATTTGACCATGCTCCGTCCTCAATATACTCCCGTCTGGTAGTCTTGTCTACTGTTTCTCCGGCTGGGTTTGACGACACACAAGATAGATAGCAGATGCAGCGTAGTGTTACAACACATTTCTGTGGTACGGTCGTCTCACATATCTCGTCTGATGTTACGATCCACCATCGTTGTTCCCCGTGGCCACATTGACCGTACAGTGCTCTCACGTCTAAGTAGCTCAAACCGCGGGTCTGACCGATTCTCACCAGTGCCAGTGCTCATTCGGTTCTGAGCTGCCCCACAATCTCGGGTTTTCAGCGCAATGCGACTCACGCCAGTGCATCCGAATCCGCGGTACAGACCGATTTTCATTGTACGGCTACTATGCACGCGGTCTTTCGAGTCTGGGCTGTTGATTGGCTGGGTGCTCTAGTTTCTAAGCTACCACTGCAATGTCCACTGGCATTCTCTACGTTAGATTAGTGATAGCAGTCACTGTTCCCCACAATACCATCAGGTCATTTCTGATTTTCGCTTGTGTGTTTACTGACGAATTCGGGTTTCTTTCGCCCCCAAGCACGTAGTGTCTCTCTACATGGGTTTAATAATGAACCTTTTTTGGAACTGATCCGCACGGTGTAGCTGCTCAGCTACATTCCTTACATCGAACTGCAGTGAACGGTTGTTTTCACTCAAGCAACCGAAGCAGCAGTAATGATACTACTGCTGATTCATGAGTAATGGGCGATAATTAGTCATTTAGAGCATGTTTCATTTATTTTGTTCATCGCAGTTCGATTTCAACCAATATTGGTGATTGGTTTTAAGGTTGCATCGTTACGGGAGACCGGTGTGGACTCAGCGGCTAGACAAATTTCTAATGGGCACATAGGTCAGGATCATGAAGCCCAATGACGATCGCTTCAGCCGTTGCCAGTAAACACAACCGCTAATGTGTGACATTTAGGTACGTGATCGATGGCATGGAGTCTCTCGTGTGCTTTGACATGATGCTTCAAATCAACCAAATGCGCAGATACTGCCTTTGCCACTGATCAACTCACTCTTCTATACGGCCAAGCTGGACAATACTCCCATGCTCTTTCGAACAGTCCCATGGAGGTTCTTCCGATATACCTTGATCGACACGAGTGAAGAAGACTGTACACAAAACGAAGTAGTTAACCTAGGAATGCTGTGCTTAAGTTGCTGATTTAGAATTTTCACTGAACTAAAGCTTAGCCTTTAGCTTATCGCATAGTAGGTTTGACCAATAGCTTTCGAACGCATTCTAGATGTGGATTCCGCCATTCCGTCCCTGTTAACTGGTGTGGAAAACACACGCGTATACATGCCCTTGATCGCTCCGTCAATCGGACCATCTAGGCCTTTGAACTTGTACTCTTATCTGCTGTTTACGTTAATGTCATTCATTCGTGTTGTATTAGAACAATGACGAACTAATGATGATGTGATTGTTCGCTAACATTTGTTTCTAATGTCTACACCTGGGATATTTTATCATTTCTGTGACTCCTATTCGGATGAACTTTAGCAGTATTACGGACAATCTGCAGCCAACATCCGGATGAAGTCAGTAGACCGAAGTGTCATAGGAGCACCTCACCATCACCCACTTCTCCCCAACTTCGATGACGTTTGTGATTGGAATGGTACACATCCAGTTTCTCAAGGGGACTCATTGTAGAAGGGCGGTCACTGTAGATCTATTGAGACCAACACAGACATGTTGGACACTGCGAACCATGTATTCTGGATCACTGGAGACACGATGCGCGCTTAACGCCCTGTCATTGGAACCCCAGTCTGATAAGCGCAGGTACTCTAGGACACTCTCCCGCCACACATCGCTCAAACTGAGCTCTTGATGCTCGCTTTCCAAATTGATTGTCTCCAGTACACGTCTTGCTTCATCGCCAACAGCATGTCGAACATCACCAACCGGTAACCAGCTGTATGATTGCACAACTATCTTCATTGTGGCGAAATCTGTCCACTTGGCTTTCCACATGCGCCAGTTTTCGGGAAACAAACCCTCCGTCATCTGCAATGGATTCGGCATCACGATAGACGGCTGTCAGCCAAAACAAAGCTCCTTTTTGTCCATCGATCCCTTTCTTTCCTCTATCACCATGTCTTGTAACGCCCTCCGAGAATCAAAAACTAAGCATGGGCTGCGACCAGAATCTATTTGGATCAGCAGGCAATGTATTATTTATATGGTAACTAACGCTCAGTTCTGCGACTCCCATCTGTTCTTCCTTCATTGACTGCGTCTGGCTGAAACCGACCATATTCGTCGATCGAGCCAGTTGGTCAAGCGAACTTATCAATCGACTCTCGCTCACGTATGCGGGCGTTGCTGCTGGACTACCGGCAGAAAATCGAGCGCGCGACTTCATGCCTGTTTGTTCCGAGTGCGTAGGTGAATACCAACAGCTACCATTTTACCATCCTCACACCACAGTTGTAGCGGGAGGGAGCCGACATGTTCTCCGTATTTTCCGAGGAGTGAACATTGCTTGTACTCCTCTGATCACTATCCTTTGACCTGTCCTTATAGCCTACCATCTGGCGCATCTCACTGTACCGCAAGGAGGCCCAAATCATCACACATATTTGTTCCATTCGTATGAGTTCCGTTGATGTTGACGTATTGAGTTGGACTGGGACGATCGACTGTTACTTCTGAGCTTACTTTTCAAACCACGACTGTTTCGACTTTTGGGTCCCGCCATATTTCTATTACTCGCTACTACATAGAGGATCTGTAACACAAGCCGGTGCATCGAAGTCCTGTTGATCTATCACGTCCCCAACTAGTTGTCATTAGAACATTAGGATACAGGTGTAACGTATTCGCGATCCCAATGGACCGGACCTTATGTTCGTCCCGTAAAGTACGATGCGGATCCAGGCGCTTGACCCACAGTTATGGCATTCGTGGGCGCAACCGCCCCTCCCTTAAACTCGTTTTTCTATGTTGTGCGTTAGGGTGACCAACGTTGTTCCGAACCCAGTCCACCGAGAATTGTAAAATCTGTGGTAATCGTCTATGGTTGTGCTGTGCATTTCATCCTTCAGTTGCTTATCGTGCTTGACCTCCATTAATTCTAGCTTACTTTTCTCCACATAAGGTACCAGGTACCGACGACGTGGGATCGACGATGATGGCAATGTGGCCAACTACGTGGAGACTGAGCAGGTGAGAGTGAAGCCCTGTGTTTTTTTTCGTTGTTCCTCTCAGGGGGCCCTCTATGCACCCCGGTACTGATAGGCGTATGTTACTTGCCTTACCTTCATCTTTAAATTAAATTAAATTTGTATATTTACCGACAGACGGTACACGGCCCCATAAGTGGGAGCGATCATTTGTATAGTGAATACGTTTCATAACATTAAAGAAAAGTTTATTGATAGCATTTCGGATCATGATTATTTTTCCTTGAGTCCTAGACCCATGCAACTCATATGTAAAATTTACGGATGTTTGTATCGTCAGGAGTAGATAATAAAGAGAGGGACTACTAGGCTGCAAAGACACAGGATTTGGTATGGTATGTAATGACATGTAGTGGGTAAGCTAGCTGTAAGCGATTATCTTCTCATATGTTTTTATACCAACTTCTGTCAATGTTTCTAGTGTTTGCTGTGAGTCAAATATCTTCAAAACATTTGGTATAGTGAGGAAGGTCTGAAGAAGATTTCGAAACGTGACATGGCTTGTACACATGCGTATCTTTAGGGGTAGTTTGTTCCACAGATAAGTGTATCTCACTAAGAAGAAATTCGACCGAATTTTATGACTTGAAAGGTTTGTACGTATCAGGTAGCCGCCATTACGTGTGGGGTAGACTGCAGTCTTCCGTAGTTCAAGTGCGGTGCTGTCTGCGTAAATTCGTTGGTTTATAATGTTATAGAAGGGAACGAGGTTGTTCTTTAAACGTCTCAGCCAAAGTGGATCCAGCTGGAGTTTTCGACAGCGATCATAATAACTCAGGTTTGAGCAGTGCCACATGACCAGCTTGGTAAATGATCGTTGGACATTTTCCAGAGCCGTTCTGTCTTTCTTTCTCAATTGGCTGTGAATGATAGTACAATATTCCAGAGTCGGTCGTGCGATTGTCTTGAATGACTCAAGTCGTGCTTCAGGTAGGGAGAAAGTTCTGGTGATATATCCGCATAACTGCCTTGCTTTCGCAACCTGATAAAGCACATGTTCGGAGAAATTGAAGGAGTTGGAGTATCTAATTCCTAAGTCCCTAACTGAATCAGATGTTGGGATCACGTTTCCGGCAAGTATAATGGAGCCTTTTGGGATGTGGCATCTGTACCCAAGTACTTGGGATTTCACTGCGGAGAACTTCATTAATGAACGCTCACTAGCTATATTTAGTGCGGACAGGTCTTCACAGATGTTCCCCAAACACATATGTAGTTGGTCTGCATGAAATGAATAAACCAGTTTGACATCATCTGCAAACAGAAATGGGTGTCCATGTTTGATCGGGTCACATATATTGTTTACGTAGATGAAGAAAAGTAGTGGTCCGAGCACACTTCCCTGGAAGACACCGCTAGTTATTGGCTTCGGTGTAAAATGTTGCTGACCGATTTCAACGACCTGAGTTCGACCGTTTAGGTATGAGTCGAACCAGTTAAGTAGCGGATTTCCAATTCCATATGAGTCTAGAGCAGACAGCAGTTGCTTGTGCGGCACGCGGTCAAACGCCTTTTGCATGTCCAACAGAATTATGATAATTGCCATTCCTCTGTCAATCATAGTCGTGACGTGATTGAGAAATTGTAGCTGGCATGTAACGCAGGAGCGTTTTGTGAGAAATCCGTGCTGCGAAGGGTTGATCAGATCCAGTCTTGTAAGATATTGGACGATGTTCTTCTTGACTATTCTCTCTAGGGCTTTGGAAGCAGCAGAGGTGTGATTTATTGGGCGGTAGCTTGACTTTTGATTTCTCGGTCCACCCTTGTGCTTAGGCATTATAATGGATTGCTTCCATTGAGCTGGAAAGCAGCCGGTAATGAGTGAAAGTGTGAAAATGTTTAGTAACAATAGTGCGAGGTTTTTTTCTCCCAGTTTTATAACATTTGGGGATATGCCATCTGGACCTGGACGAGTTGATGGTTTTATGTCTGCGATGGCACTTTGCACCTCTCTTAACGTCACAGGGATATTGCAGTATAGTTCGGTCGTTCTTTTTGGAGGTAGAGGATGAAGTGGCTGAATGTTGGGAACAAAACAGGAGGCAAAACTAGTGTTCATGGCCTCGCATATACAGGAGATGTCGCGCGTTATTGAACCATCGTCTAAGGCCAACGTTTCAATTTCCTGTAGTGGTTTAGGGTTCCTTCTTTTGAGTAGTTGCATCAATGCACGTACTTTCTCAGGATTTCTGAGTACCCGGCTTTCTTCTTTGATTTTGACCGTTAGGGTTAGACGTTGTAAATATAGTAAGTTCTCGTGTATTTGTAGCAATGTTGCGAAGCTGTTGTTCCTGCGATATAGCCCGCTTCTACTTCTCTCCAGCCCCTGACTGCGTTGCACCAATCTCTGTTTGCGCCGCTTAGGCTAGATTATGTGCAATTCGTTGTGGCCTACTCTTAGCACTGGTATCAAGATCCCGTTGCTTTTACTTCGTTCTGTATAACAATCGAACTTGTGCCAACGCTTGCTGAATAAAGTCGTCCTTCTCGGGCAGATTGCCCTTCCTAGAGGCTTAGTTAAATACAGTTTCCATTGGCATATTTCTCCAGCTGTCAGAGTAATCCCGCTCTCTGTCTACAAAACAGTCCAAATTCACTATTTTACCGTTTATGCAAAGGCGGATCGTTGCTTTTATTCTTCTACACCTTTTCGCACAATTAATAACGTTGAACCGGACGTGCTCCGTACTTTTCCACTATATATGTTTAACACCTATTTACACACACATGACACTTTTTCAACCAGCGATCTAATTATTGGCTGGGCTAAGATCCACTTGAAACTCCTTGTAACTACCCATCCTGTGTTTACTTCAACTTATCCCCCTCCCATCCCGTTCTTATTGATTTCCGTTAGAAGCAAAAGACAGCTAGGCGAACAAGCTTGATTTTGGTGGTTCGCATCATGCCAATACACCACAGAAAATAGGAATAAAACCAACACAGGGTATTTAAATACGATGAATCAATGAAGTGATTTGACCGGTCAATGAGATCAAGTGACTACACTGGCTAAGGCAATATTAGTGGAAGGGTCACATAGGGAAACTTGAGACCATGGTAGCTGTGGAGCCTGTACAAATTTCTTTTGAGCACATAAATTGGGGTTATGGAGCCGAATAGCGATTGCATCTGCTGTCGCTAATAAGCGACATCGGAGGGCTCGCGTGTGGCATCCAGACATCCTCTAGCTAGTCTGTAAAGCCTCTCGCACATCCACTTAGTGGTTTGAGTCGACCAAATGCCACAGCACCGCCTGGCTACTGTCTTTCTGACACCAGTGTAGAGCCACGCCGGGTAATGTTCCCGAACTCTCTCAGACCGTTGCCTGGTCGTCTTTGCAATATAACTTGTTCGATACGAGCAAGAAAAATGGTACACACAGAAGGAAATATACGACCTCGGTATCCTGTTCTTGAGATGTTGACTCACGACTGGCGTAGTAGTGAATCTGACACGGTCAGCTGCAAAGTAGGTTCTCGCGGTTGCATTGCAGAGCCGTCGAGTAGATCGTTCTTCTATCACATCACCCTTGAAAGGCAGTGATAAGTGGATTAAGCGCTTATCTGCGGTGATTGGTTGGACTTTTGGTGCTCTGGGCTTCATGTGCCTCCGGATGAATTTGTCCGGATAACCAGTTTGGTCGAGAACTCTTCGAATGAAACTCAACTCACCCGACAGCGTGTGTCCCGTGCGTATTTTCCTCGCTCTTTCCGTTAGACAACGGACGAGGTTTCCTTTTTGACTCATTAGAACAAAACTGGCGAAATGGTTATATTGGCCGCTCCAAGTTGTCTTCCTGTTTACTCTACACTGTCCGGTCTGGTGTCCTGGTGATATGGACGTCTAAGAATGACAAGTTTTTACTTTCAAGTTCTATGGTGAACACTATGTTGTTATGTGCAGTGTTGAAGTGGGCTAGCAGATCTTCGATGCATACCCGACCATCCGCAACACAAAATTTGTCATCGACGTATCGACCGTAGTAAACCAAGTTGTTGATACATTCGTTTAGCTGAATGTTCTCCAACTTACTCATGAAGACATCGGCGAGTAGCGGTCCTAATGGTAAACCCATAGCTACCCCGTCTATTTGTCTGCAAAACATTCCATTGAGCTGGAACTGAATGTTCTCGGTGCACGCCAGTATGAGTTGCCTTAAACGGTCATTTGGGATACCGATATTGAGGCTGTGCGATTGGATAAATTCGCGGAGATAGTCAATGGTCTCTTCTAACGGAACGTTGGTGAAAACTGACGCCACATCTAACAAGAACATCACGTCCAGCTAGATTGAATTTTTTCACCGAGTCAAAAAATTTCAAAAGTGTCCCGGAGGCTGTACTTAGATATGGCTTTCCTGACCGGCTCGAGACGTTTGACAAGCCAGTTAGCAGTCAGATGATAGAGAGAGTTGTACATGCCCAGTATCGGTCTCAACGGTACATCTTGCTTGTGGCTCTTAAGTAAGCCATAAAGTCTCGGAATCACTGTTCCACTAGGTCTGTCGTATTCAAAAGAGTCAAAATCTTTGATGTTATTTTGTTTCAAACGCCGCAAAAGTGTTGTCATGGTCTTCTAAATTACCGGCGTCCTGTCTTCCTCGTTTTGCACTTTTCGGAATTTCGATGCGTCTTTTAGGATGGAGTTCATCTTATCCATATAAGCTGACTTGTTCATCAATACAACCCCGGCTCCTTTATCCGGTCTAGGTAACAAAACATTCTCGGTTTGCTTGAGCTCCTTCACAGCGTCTAAATGCCTATTTTTAGAAGTTATTTGATGGTCGGTTTGTACCTCAGGTACTGGTAGCATGTGTTTACCAATGTGGATTTGTAATTGTTCAGTTGCTAATGCTGAGGATGATGTTAAGGTAGCAACTTGAGAATAGAGATTTTCGAATTGAACTTCCAAGTCTAACTGTTGCACATTAGCTCGGGGGTAAGCGAGGATTTTGCCTTTGTAATGTACTTCTGCGACATGAACTTTAAAGAGTGCCCCATGCGATATTGAATTCACCCGTGAGCGAACACTTTACTCTAGCTAGAATGAGCGCTTGCAATCAAATTACTTTCTCTGTAGGAAAGACTTTTCAAGATTATCGAACTTTCCTTTGTGTGCTCATCCATTGTGAAAATGATGTAAACCTCAGGAGTTCTTTTCCACTCTTCCGTTGCTTTTTGCTTCGTCTATGATGTCGTTACTTATCGTTTTCAAGCGAACGTGGATTCCAGCGTTTTTAACGGTACACCCGTTATTCGACTACTTTCCGGCCTCAGTGAACCCTGTTCTCCTTCACCCTTCCCCATCTGTAATGTAGTTGGGCTTTACGTACTTTTAGCTGACTATCATCGAGGTAACCATGTCGATCCATCGTCTATTGCAAGGGTCACCAAGATTTTCACACGGCGAGCCGGATGACTAGAAAAAATACTGGCATGGGCTTGATGGCCGGAGAAACTAACCTACACAGGCCGGACGATTGACAAAGTGGTAATCGTGGATCGCATCCTCATTATGCACAATATTTGCGAGCCAGAACATAAATAAAGCTAACGCTCCCTGTCCGCTTTTCTTTTTTTATTAGCTTTAGTGAAGGGGGAAATACAGGAGATCAGAACAAGAAAAAGATATTGTATTACACCTATGATAAAAATCCCATTGAAACGCCGGAAAAACGGAGAACTAGTGGTCTTTGATGGAACTGCCAATCACCAGATCTACGCTTGAATTTCATTAGTTCCTTCGGCAATATAGTATATCACATAAGAATGCCTGCAATATATATATATATATATATATATATATATATATATATATATATATATATATATATATATATATATATAAGTGGAGTCGCGCTTTGAAGGCTTGAGTAAAGCGTTTCCATCAGAGCGAAATCAACAAACCGTGCTCTGACTGGATGCCGGGGATACTTACAGGCATTTAACATCACCTACATGTACCAATCTCAACGATTTGTGGTTCTAGATCAATTCCGTGCTAACGTGTAATTTTTTCCACAAGTAGCAAGCATGGCTCCTAAGCGACACATACATCAACTAGTGGTGTCCTAAAAAGCGGCGTTGCAAATGACGCGTCCCTCAATGGAGCTGACCAAAGGAAAATTGCTGCAAAAGGGGTGTGAGGTAAGCAGAAACACGCTTGGATGCACGATTGAATGGGTTTCACGCGTGTTCACTTTGCATCAATGTTCCGACGATGTGAGATCACAAATGGTACCGTAGTACGGTGTCACAAGTAACAAGCATGAGATGGTTCAAGCTAGTTCACGGACAACAACACGTGAAGTGTCTAATGTCAACTGTATCAAAGCGACTCGTGCTCCTAAGCTTTACCAAGCAAAATCGGGTACAGTTTGGGGGCTGCATCATTTGACGTCGCGGGCCGGATCTGGCCTGTGGGCCGTAGTTTGGTGTCCGCTGGTCTATTGCATTGTCACCAATTGACATGGATTGCATGGGAGCGACTTTTTTTTAGAACGCACCTCTAGATTCCGCGTGATTCCGAAGAAACGATTTTGCTTTTTTCACATTTTCTTTATTCGCCTCATTATTGGCAGTAGTCTGATCGAATTGTGGTCGGTATATTGTACTTACCTGCATTCTTCTGATCGTCTCTGTACCTGCATATCTCGTAGAATTTTCAGAATGTATTATTATTATTATTATTATTATTATTGCACCCGTTCGCAACATCTGGTATCATTCACTTTCATATCGACATATCTCTATTCATCTATCTCGTGCACTACGACACGGCGACTGACATGCAACTACTTTTTCAATTCTTGTGTTTGTTAGATATTGCAATCTCACTCCACGGAGAATCCACAAACCGTAGCTTTCTTGCAAATTAGAGGTTCCGTCCCATTGTTCTGGTCACAAACTAGCCTGAAGTATCGACCTCCGATCAACTTGAATGAGGGTGAGTAGGTTTTGTCTATTCCGCTCTCACTGTACTTGGTGTTCCGTTTGCCCTACTCCCGTTATTTTTTTCGGTGTGCTAACGATTCTATTCTTATTCTGATTGTGACTGGCCTTCATTCATCTCATCACTCTCATTAGAAGGCAGGTTCGGTTCTGTCACAGAAGGCGATACTACGTGGTTGAAGATTTTCTTCAGTAGACATAAATGAGCAAAAATTATTGAACGTTTTTCCCGCGATTTCTTTTGATGTGCGTTTTTCGTCCGCGATCATTACTAACGGCGTTTTTGGTTCAAAGAGTCTTTTGGCCCGATTGTGCAAACAACAGAAATGTCCACAGTGGCATCGCCAGTTGCCCGTCTATCATCGAAGCAGCGAAGGCTACTTACGTGAAACAGGATATCTGCAAATTTTGCGCTGCACGACATCTAAGTACCCGCGAACGGTGTCCGGCGTGGGGACGGAAATGCGCCAAATATGGAAAAAGGTACCATTTTACTCATTGCTGCCAATCAACCAATGTGAGTGCGGTCGTTCGTGACAAGTCATCCACAAACGTGGAACATTCAATTAGCAACGTGTGTCGGAGGATATCGCAAGTCTTTTGATCGAAGGCAAAGCCGTGCGATTACACTTAGACACGGGCGCTACTATCAACATTCTACCAAGGAAGTACTGTCCCGGAGTGTACATCCAATCCCATCAAGATTGCCTGCGCATGTGGAATGGTTCCAGACTTCATCCGAAAAGCTCAGCTGCAATGGAAGTGGTTAACTCAAGGGACGGGGCCTCACCTCAACTGAAGTTTGTGGTCGTGGCTGAGGAGCTTACGTCGGTTCTCAGCATTGATTCGATTCAGTCTCTCGGTTTTGTTGTTTTTAATCATTATCGTTCTGGGCATGTTTGCCAGGGAGAAATCGATATTAGTGACCAGTATCCTTTTGTGTTTAGCCCAGGTTTGGGAAAACTTGTGGGAGCCACTCACTTGTCGCGCGGCATGGAATACCGAAACTGCTGGTCTCCGACAATGGTCCTCAGTTTACTAGCGCTACGTTCCAGGCCTTCGCAAGCAAGTGGGAATTCGTGCACCAGCAACCCAGCGCATATGACGACCAATCGAATGGAAACATAGAGTCAGCAGGGAAGCAGGCCAAACGACTGTTATTAAAGGCTAACGCTACTGACGAAGATCCGTACCTCATGCTACTGGAGTATCTCAACACTCCTTCAACAAATATCGGCTTGAGCCCAGTGCAGCGTCTATACAGTCGAAGGATTAGTACACTAATGCCGGCATCTGCTATACTTTTGTGCCCAGTTTCACCACAGCCTGAACAGTCTGAGAACACGAATGACCACGCAGAATCGGTGTTACAACCGCGGTCCACGGATACTGTCTGGGCTAACAGTGGGAGGAGGAAGTGGGGTTCAACCAGCACCCGATGGTCAAGAGCGGTGGAAGAAAGGTGTGGTAACTGTGAAGGTCGGTGCAAGGTCATGCGAAATAAATGTTGGAGGGAAAACACAGAAGAAATTGAGTGCATTTGTGACGACACCGGAAACTGCAATGTGGACTGGGAGTGGAGCGCCCGATGGCATGTGGCAAGCAGAGCATGACCACAGACACAACGAAATTGATGCGGACTGGCACGATGTACAAGGGGTACAGCACTATGGAGACACGAGGACACGAAAATTGTGAGAATGTGATGGAAGTGTCATACCAAAACGAACGGGTAGGCCAACCGAGCGGCCGGATAGCCAATGGGAGACGGGCATCCATGTGAGTTAATCATCGTTTGTTTTACTGAGTCAAAGAAAAAACCTCATCGCCTCAGAAGCGTTGTTTGTTATGGACGTGAAGGTATAACTTATATCGAGAAGTTTGGCTTGCCAATCGTGCTATAATTTTCGCTGCATTGACTTTGCCGAATAAACTCTTGTACCTGAAGCACTGAGCTCTGCAACATGAGGCTTACGTGGTTTCACTTGCACTGCATACATTATCATTGGCGTGATTGACTGAGATTCGCTTCATAGTGAGTCCCCGTTTCGATTGTACTTTTATGTCACCACACAAATACTTCGGATGAACCTACGATGAGCTGATATTCTGTTGGCCACGACGGAACATTCGAACGCATGCCTCCCCGTAGTTCAGTAACTTATAGAACTGCACTGTACAATCGTCCAGCTAGTGTTTTGCTCTCATTTTCGTGTCTTTAACATCACCATACTTTCCAACTGAATTACTTTTATCCTATTGCGGTAGCCGCCCGCTCCTCCTCGGAAACGTACGTTAAAGACAATCCAATCTGGCTTTCATCATGACGGGCTGCATCGGTTGCATTTTTTGCACCCTTTGAAATGCTGGAACAGCGCTATACATATAGATTCTCCTAGGGTATTTCTCTCTAACCTGTAGATTGTCTTTGATTCAGTTGGGCGCCACTTTTTATCGCTGTATATCTCTTAAGGTAGCTCCGGGGCCATCCCCTTCTTCAGACGATACTTTGGAATCCGCTACAAGTTCTCTTTGTGGTCGGCTATGGTAAATGGTGTACACCAGGGTTGCCCCAGATACCTCTTTGCACCTCAGCCTGATGATCGAAATGATCATCATTCGTCCTGTTTTCTCCGCTCCTTCAGTGTAACTTGGAGTACGTGGACTCGAACTTTGTGCAAGTTCCTCCTAACCGACCTACCGCTTCGATGTGGTTTGTTGCTCTATTTGCTCGATGCATACCCACGTTTCGTGTGACCGTTGCGTTTATTTATCCAAGTCACTATATCACTTCCAACAGTCGCATCACCGAAGAGGTGACTGCACGCATCGCTAAGATTCATGTGGATTTTCAAAGCTTTGACCACAAGTGAAGATAATGGGACGGATATACCGCACTTCATTGCACTTGACGTTACTCTATAGGGACATGGATCTTAAAAAATTGACCATGGTTAGCTTCATGTACTAGCTTTGGAACTGATCGAGAAACTGGGATTCCAGCAATGTTTGTACACACCATTTGACTGCCGATGCGTACGAAGCATTTCCCCCTATCTGGTGCGGCCGGTAGCCTATTGGCATAAGACATCCACCTTGAAATCCAATGGTCATCGGTTTTGAGCTGCGTTATGCATGTGGCTTCGCAGTATCTATAAACCGCGCGCAACTAATGGTGATCATCGCATGACACCGAAGCGTTGAGTACAACGTACCGGCGTACTACTGTGGATGCCTTTGTGCAACTACAGCGAAGTGTTGCAGACAACCACCATTTGATATTCTCCAACAAACCTCGATACAGCAGTGGGAGGTTTTTACGCACCTGTCGTTTGCTTAGAGGTTTGCTTATAGCTTTCGTATTTTGGGTGACCGTTTACATTACCTTGTGTACTTTCGTACACTGCGCCCATTTGAATTTTGGAGCGTCAAGATGATCATTCGATGATTTGACTAAAAGACATGAAGAAACTCGTTGGGTGATTTAGTCAAACGGGTTCTACACCATTTCCTGGCCGTTGTCCTCTTGGGCAACAGAAATAATCTGAGGGGCATTCAACATGAGTCTACTCAATTAATTTGTTCCGTGCTTAGGAGCTGAATCGTCCCACCTTCACCCCTATGACTTAGTGCGTCTGAGGTCCAATTGGCTGAAGGCGACGGGCTACACACGAACACCTACCCACCTGCACAAGTGACTGGCGTACGCAGGGAGCAAATTAATTAAGTAGACTCATGTTGAATGCCCCCTCAGGTTATTTCTGTTGCCCCAGAGGACAACTTGGCCGGAAAATGGTATGGTGTCTGGTGGCTTACGTGCCTAATCTGCCTATAACTGCGAATGGGAAGAGACATGACGCCCACTTCTGTGGGTTGTTTACGTTACACCTCCCACAGCTCCGTCCACTCACCTCATTTCGTGTGTAAATCCTAAGGAGTAAGTTAGCGGCTTTTCGATGGGAGTCACAATTCGGATGTGGCTCACACCCCTTCATTGCACTCAGTATTTAGGTCACTTCGGGGTGAGCAGTGTGTGTGCCAGACGAACGCGGGACGGTGACTACGCTCTTTTCCATTTCTGAATCACTGTTTGTACCTAGCACTCTCACGAGTGGTATGCACTTCTCTCACAACCATGGTTCACTGTGACCGACGCGATATCACTCTCGCCCTGAAGGGCAGAGTTTACAATGCAGCCGACCGCACAACCCTCCTGTACGGTTGCGAAATCTGCCCATCAGGTCGACAGACATAAAGCAGTTAGTTACGTTCGACCATCGCTGTCTTCTCGCGGTGGGAGAACTGCGTGAGCAATGAATGTGTTCGGCGTCGTATATTTGGTACAGGAAGAGCGAGTGAACCGTTCAGCAACTTTATATCACGCACCAGTCTCCGATGGCTGGACCACGTATTGCGCACGCCAGCACACTGAAAACCGCGACTTGCATTGTTTGCAACGCCGGGGATTCGGTTGGATGAGGAGGAGGGGGGGCTAAGCGATGGGTTGATCAAGAGAAATGAAATCCCTCTCTTCGAATTTGGCGCCCTTTGGTGTGTCCCGACTGCGCGGCTGGGATCCGAAGGACGCTGAAGACGTCTGGTTGGATACACTAGTTGACATGACGAGGAGCCGACCACAGTGATGTTCATGTTGTGAGTTTCTTTATCCATCCCCTCCCTTTTCTATTCCCCCTCCAATTACGATCTCACCCAGATGCATTATATGCTATTTATCAGTATACTAATTAATTAGAGGACCATTTTGGAGTGCACGTTGTGTGATTGAACTGCGACTCGCAGTCTCAATGTGGACCGCGATTCACATTGAATTGAACCTTAGTCACTGCGATCACTGGGGCCGTAGTCGAAGCAAATGGAAATTGGGTCTTGCCCACCCGAAAACACTGCACAACCACGACGCGTTGCGATCTGCTTTGATCTCATCAGGCGGAGATAGCAGGCCTCGAACCCGCGACCATTGGAACAATAGCCGGAACATCTACCCCTTTGGCTACCGGGTCACGACGGGCAGCACTTGTTACAACAGCGAATGACTGATTGGATGGCAATTTTTGAGTACACATTGTGTGATTGGATTGGGACGCGCTTCACTCCTATGTGAATCGCGGTCCACGTCGAAATTGCGCGTCGCCATCCAATCACACAAGGTGTACTCCAAAATGGTCCTCCAATCAGACATTCACCGTTGTGCCAAGCTTTGCCCGTCATGATCCGGTAGCCAAAGAGGTAGATGTTTTTGCTACTATTCGAATTGTACCACTTGCTTTCGAACCTTTTTGTGGTCTGTAATTTTTAATTTCTTATCTTTTTTGTCTTGCGACACACCTGCTGTGTTTCTCACCCTCGGCTAACGTATATTGATGAGGACGACGATGAATCAGGTGTACACAAAGGGCGACTAGTGACCATCTTGGGGTCAGGTTGAAACTGTGATCCGCACCGAAACCCAACGACCACTAACAGCCAATGGGCTGACGAAATAATACAATGAAACAAATGTTTGTCAGTTACCACCACAAAATGGACATCTGCAGTTAAAACGCTTAGACAAATATACCAACATCTTTTCGCTGCTATAACACTGCCAGAAAAATTCAAAAACCAATGGCTAAGAACAGGATCTCGTTTTAATCTCACAGCCACAAACACGGTGTTGCTTAGAGTTCAGTTCGCTGCTGGGACGAATCAGTAAACTTTCATCAAAAATCCTTCTACTCATTAAGTACTGCTCCTATTGTTTGGTCAATCAGTCAAGTAGCGCACTAGTGACCCGATCAATAAAAGTAGCAACAATCACTTAGCCTAATCCTCTTCGCGTTGCATATACTAGGGGACAACCATGAGACTCTAGTGTTTCAGTATTCTTCAGCAATTCCTGCGTTTCCTCCGGGACACGTAGAAGGATAAACTTTCGTCTCCCTTGGATTCGTAACTCCAAAGAACACGACTACAAAGGTGTCACGAAGGGGGAACGTTTGTTCCCCACACAACAGGCTCTTCACTGAATGCCATTATTTAAAAAAGGTTGAAAGGATCTCACAACAAATACTGAATATGTAGAATTATTTGTGAATTATTCAGCGAATCTCGGGCAATTCTGGTCTTCAGCAAAATAAATATTCCCATTTTAATGAGAAAATTGAGACCGAATGCGTGTTGGGTTATGTACTGGTTTCGTGTAAACTCTCAGCAGACCCAAACATTTACATGGTAGATATTAGGTGTTATTGTATCATTGTGTAAAATTACACTTCTTACTGTGACGTATAGACAAAGAAGGGCGCAAGGAGATTAGGCGATATTTGAGTCCAATCGACTCGACCTGTGAATGATCACATAGTCTCTCATTAGGTGACATGCGTACACGTGGGTCATCAGACGTGGCTAGCAAAGTGGTCGGATTAGACGCCGCGGGAGGTCTTATAGATATCTCCTGGGTGTCGTTAATCACTTTTAGCTAGTCTTGAATGGGTTAGGAGGGGAAGGAATAGTGCTGGATAATTTCTTGAGAATTTACTCCACGAAACTCCTCGCGTGGGTGTGAACATAATGAAATTACGTTGGCCAAGTGAGATGAAGGCGCAGCAGCAGTGGTATTTGGTAAATGAATGAAGGACTCCACACGGCTAATTGGTTGTAGCTGGTCATGAACACAACTGGGATTTCTGTGACCGAGTAGAAGGGAAGGGGGAACCGACGGAGGGTAGTTTGAGGCTTTTCAGATTGAAGTTTACATAACAGCGCATAGCTAGGGCTTTCGTTGATCGTATCATCTCCAGTGCCCTTTTGAATTAATACCATACTGGTTTAACCTGACCCGTCAACGTATCTTCTTACCCTGTGTGTATTACCTCATTGTTTTTTATCGGAACGTTGTCTTTTCTTACCTGTGCTAGCAGCAGGTAGATGTAGTTCTTCAGTTATTTATCTGTCCGTAACGCCACCAAATCTATGCTCTGCTCATTAGTCCCGGCAACGAACAGACGCCACAAACACACACGTTCTGCGGTGCCGTCAAGCACGGATTGTTTCTATGACATCGAAATGCACTGAGAGTCAAGGCTAACTCATTGGTACGGTTTCCCGAGTATGAAATAGATCTGCCTTGCCAATCAAACAATTGTTGCTATTCTGTTGAATTCACGCGTACGTCGTGACCGGTGTCTGTCTGTTTAGCCACACTATCTATCCAAACCGTCCTTGCTTCATCGGCATTAAACACTCAGTATCTTTTGGAGGAGTCTTTTTGAAACATTCGTTTTGTGATAGGATTGCGGCGCACGGCCTCGCTGTGGCCGCAATTTGCGTTAAAGTGGACCTTGATCAATTCGAACACTGAGATCGTAACTGATGACGCAGATAGATATTGGGTGTTACTCACCCGAAAACGCTGTACTCCACCACGCGCTTTGACATTGTTTAATCTCATCAGGTAGAGTAGCAGACATGGAACCTGGGACCATTGGGATGTTAGCCAAAACCTCTGCTCCTGAGCCACCGAGTGTCTCAGTGTAGGTATACGCTTTTGACAAGTAACGCATACTACTTCACCTTTTGAACCAATAGGTTTAATATCGCGCCACATCACACACAGCTGGGGTCTGGTTCCAGTCGATTCAGCAATTTCCCGTATCAGGTTGGCCACTGCACATGCCCGCAGTTGGCTCGGGGGTTGAGAGGATATACCAGCACACCAGATAGCCGAATAGCCGGAGAATTTATTCACGATTTTAAACCTAGGGAATCATTATTGTTCGCATTGTTTTTCTGAACCGGATTCAGCACCAGATTGCTGTTGCCACCAATCTGGAACTCGTCAACCTTCCCTTCTTTATGACATTAATTTTCCTTCGTCTGTCCTCTTCGCAGATGGCCAGAGAAGTCAGTCCGCTTGCTTGAAACACTGGAACAAGCTTCTCTCGTCTTTCGATCGAGTGGTCATTGTGAATCTACTCGACTGTGGCCGAAAACGGTCGGAGGATCCACTGTTTGAGGCCTACATTCGTCATCTGTTACTGTTGAATCAAGAGAAGTTGACGTGCATCTTGTTTGATTTTCATGACTACTGGTATGTCAACTCATCATATCGATAATTATTCCACTAAAATCTCTTCATCGTAAATGAAATGCTACTTTTAGCCTGTATTTACACCGTCTCATGTAATCGCGTTTAATTAGGAGACCTTCAATGCGGATCATCTAGATGACATCCGCCGCATTCGATGAACACATGCTTCGGTTATGGACCGCCTTTTTTCTCCTATGGCTGCCAGCTAGTCGCTTCATCAATAGTAATTTACACCGCTCTACGTGGAACGTCTGTGACCCTTAGTTGATTTTCAGTTGCCTGTGATCGTTTAGCGTTTCTAACTTGGACCGCTATTTTACGTAAACTGTAAACCAGTTTTAGTGCTGGTGTAACAGGTTTGACATGTTCGGACTCCAGGTTGACGCTACTCAACATGACTTCCTTAGCGCTTTTAACACGCAGTAGAGCTAATCGTTACGGTTGGATCCGAAGTGGCTCACTTCACACGGATATGTCGGTTGCACACAGCACTGTTGTGTAGCTGGGAGCATGCGGACGGTTTGTGTGTGTGTGTGTGTGTGTGTGTGTGTGTATGTATGTACCAAAGTCGGATACGATGGGGTCCATAACGAGTGGTGAACTATGAAGTCCAGCATGCTTTCTGTTCAGCTTTGACGTTCTTCGAACATGGGAACTTCTTTATCCCACTGAAATCATCTCCGCCATGGCCTCATTTGCAAGTAGTATCGTTGTCTACAATATCTTTGATACATGTAACCGGTAATGCGCGCATTTTAACAAAGAAACCTGTTCGGATGGTGTTACTGTTGTACCTTTATTTCATCGAGCATGAAACATTCAAATGACCGGGGATCCCTGGTGCATTAGTTCAGACACTTGACTTACAATCTATGCGCTCCAGGTTTGAATCCCCGGTTTACGCGTCCCAACAGTAGTTCAGCTCGCATGTAACCACTTGCGATCGCAAAAAGTACCGGTGTTCTTCTAGGCACTTGACCTCTCCAACGAGGGCAATAGACAGCCCCACCCACTTCATCCACCTTGGCGTCGGCGTCGGCGTCAGCGTCGAACAGGCTCCCTCATAGGAGATAGAGTTGGACGATAGCTTATGAGTTGTGTTGCGGAGTTTGGTGTCCACAGTGAAGCTTTCTGTTGATTTGCATCTGTTGTGACAGTCCACAGCTGTAGTCCACAGCACATGATGCATCACGGGAAGGCCGTCTTGACCTGGCTTTATCCATTATATAATCATTGTTTCAATTCTTCACACGTAATAACGTGCCCTCGTTCTCACTGGAATTCTCTCTCCGACTGCTGTTATGAGTCGCTGTATATTAATGGCGAATTTCGGTTCTGCATTCACGGTATACACAACACGACGATTGCAAGTGGTAGTCCTTTGATTAAACTTCTTTCCTTTGAAATGGAGTCCATTTTCGCGACGATCACCACGAGCTGGCATTGCCCATTATTCATACGGAGTTGAAAGATTGAGGTTGCCCAGCTAACTCAAACCACTTGGTGTGTCAGTGAAAGAGGCCGGCGGTCCGCTATTACGTTTCGATCCCTCTGCCCAACAGCAAACTGTGCTAGAGTAAGTTAAGCTAAAAACAGCATTTGCCCACTTCACCGAGACTTATTCTATCAACCTTTCTGTCACCTTTGCTACCAGTGACTCCTCGTAACCACCTTGATGACTCACTAAGCTTATTCTCGTTTTAGGTGCACATCCGCGCGTACTTTAACACCTAACATATGGTAACAAGGAGCTCCCATACATCTTTGCTTTCGTCTCAGATGTTTCTTCTATTCCTGATCCACGAACTCCTTTCCGTGCACTTGTGTGACGACGTTCTTGATGTGACCAATCAGTTATCGACCATCCGCTGCCGTTGCTCCGTAGCACCCTGATCTGTTATGAACATGATTGTTACGGCAGAGAGTATGAAGCTAATCGTATCACCTAACTAACGCACGGTCTGGGCAGTTAAAATGCAGGGCAGTGGGCGGAATGAGTATACTGAATAACCGTGGTTCTACAATAGCAGTGATAAACAAAAAAGAATACAATTAACTCACGAATAGGTAATGCGACTCGCAAATTCGGGCAGCAATTATTCCACGTCAGCAGTTAAGTCTGCGCAAATGGCGAATAGTCCGTAAAATTGGCACAGTAAAACAAATTACAACCGATGAGACGCAAACCGTAAGTTCACAACAATTAAGCAAAGAAAAAAAGATAATAAATGCAGAAAAATTGCAGGGTTTTATCAGTTTGTTCAAGCCGAACATTTGTGCATGAACAGGTAAACTCGAGTACCACACCGTCCAACGGGAAAAATATAAAGAAATTGAACTACTGCTAAATGTGCAGTAGTATAGTTCAGAATCGGGAATTTAGAATTCACACTCCCCCAGCGTCTCTGGCCTCCTCGCTGAATTCTTCGTCCAAAGTCTCCTCTAATAGACACACTTGTCGTACGTCTCTCCGTAATGTTCCTTTGTTTGTACGTATCAGAACTTCCCGGACCAGTCCATCGCGCCCAGCCTTCGCTTCTTCTATTATGCCCTTTGGCCACAGACTTCTTAACGTGCGTACATCGGCGATTAGAACAAGATTACCTCTCCGTAAACCGCGCCTCTTTGTGTGCCACTTTTGACGAAACTGCAAAATCGGCAAATAACAAGTTAACCACCTTTTCCAAAATTCATCGGACAGCTGCTGCACTTGGCGCCATTGTCTCGTCAGCCTGTGGGGAATTCGTGCCTGCTCTGGGTCCAGTGCCCTGTCTGCTGTTAAGGTCAATAATTGGCTGGGCGATATAGCACCGAACTCATCGGGGTGACCGGGATTGGGTACCAAGGGTCGCTGGTTAAGTATTCTTTCCACCTCCACTAAGGTTGTCTGAAGAATTTCATCGTTAACAAGCCGATTACCGAGTATCACTCTAAGTATCGTCCGTATTGAACGGATCAGACGTTCCCACGCTCCTCCACGATGACTCGCATAGGGCGGATTGAATATCCATTCGCAGTTCTTGTCGTTCAACATTCGGCTCAATTTATCTTGATTCCATGATCGTATTATACCTCTCAGTTCACCCTCAGCTCCACGGAAGTTCTGTCCATTGTCACTATACACTCTCAGCGGTGCGCCACGTCGCGAGACAAATCTTGAGAAGGCGCACAAGAAAGAATCTGTATCCATAGCGTGCGTTATTTCTATGTGTACCGCTCTTACTGAGAGGCAAGTAAATATACAACCGTACCGTTTCCCCGTTGTTCGTTTTTCCTTCACCAGTAGTGGTCCAAAATAGTCAACCCCAACAGCCGTAAACGCCGGTTGGTATGCCATACAACGATCCTCTATGAGAGGAGCCATCTGTTGTTCACAAGGCTGAGCCTTCCATATCATGCAGCGTGCACATGCCTTCAGGACCTTGCGGACTGCTGAAACACCATGCAAAATCCAATAGCGCTGACGCAGTTCAGAAAGGACTTGAGACACGCCGACGTGACCGTTTCTCTCGTGGCAGTCTAAGATAATTAGTCTAGTCACGTAATCTTGGGCAGGTAGCAGGACAGGATGCCTAGCGTCATACGGCAATGGTGCCCAATTCAGTCTGCCACCAACTCGTAGGATGCGGTTAATCAAAAATGGGCAGAGTCCCTTCAACGAACAGTTGGAACGTTTCAAACATCTAACTGCTTCTTTCTGTCGATTCGCTCCCAGTACTTTAATCTCTTCCGCGAAGGAGATCTGTTGCACGTTTCTCACTATCTCCACTTCGGCCTCGTTTAGTTCAGATAACGTCAAACGACCATCAGTCGGGTTATTCAGACCTCTACCGCGTCTTTTCAGCAAGTACCGTTTAAATCTGAGTAACGTGGCTACACATCGTTTGAGCTTGACCCAGCTACTACAGCTTGCGAACCTGTCTAACCAAGTGTTCGTTAATGTTGCACTATGGACTGTAACATGCTCCTTCTTCAGCCACTCATTCGGGATTTCGCTTAAACTTTCCGGAAGTTTGGGCCAATGGACTTCTTTGAGGCGTAAGAAATAGGCTCCTTCAAGCCATTTTCCCATTTGAACTCCATCACACACCCGTAATCCGCGAGAGGCTATGTCGGCTGGATTCGCAGATGTTTCGATGTATCTCCACTGCTTCGGGTCGGAGAACTGATGTATCTCGGACAGTCTGTTCGCAATGAACTTTGTAAATCTCTTGGTCGTGCACCGGATCAACTGCAGCACCACCATCGAGTCAGTCCAAAATATCGGAGGTTTGTCTAGCTGCAACTCCTCAACTGCTTGAATGGCTAACCGGACGGCAAGGACCGCGGCGGTTAATTCTAGACACGGTATTGTAACTGCTCTTATCGGCGATACACGCGACTTTCCCATAATGAGAGTAGTCCAAATCTGATTATTTCGGCCAACAATCCTGACGTAAACTGCCGCTCCGTATCCATGTTCTGAAGCGTCTGAGAAACAATGCAACTGCATGTCGTCGTCGGTGAATGGCTTCGGTCTAACACACCGAGGAATCCTCAGTCGCTCTAATAGCTGGGTGTCCCGCAGGAAGCAATACCATTCCTCCCGTTCCGGTCCGTCTACCTGTATATCCCAAGCAAATCCTCTTCGTACGAAGGATTGCAACAGCTGCTTGGCACGCAACAGTACCGGTGCTATCAGACCTAGTGGGTTATAAATCGCGGCGATGAAAGACAGAATCGATCTTCGAGTGCAATCCCCTTCGAACTTTCTCAGGCTAAATGTTATGCAATCGTCTGAAAAGTGCCATTTTAGTCCCAACGTAGGTTGTACATTCTCGGACTGTAAAGTCAACTGGACTGATTCGTTGGCAGACGCACTCGTCATCATTTGTTGCAGAATTTGATCATCGTTACACTTCCATTTCCGTAAGTGAAACCCACCCTTGGATGCAATCGCTTCAAATTGTGTAATGAGGAGACTAGCTTCTTCCCGGCTACCACAGCTAAACGGGCAATCG